AAATTTGAAATTTTTCAAGGGATACTTTCCTAGAGATCCACATGACTCAACCCAAATGCGTTTCTTATTATAAGAATCTATATTTTAATCTGCATTAAAATAGAAGAAGTTATGCACCAAAAAATTATGCATTATAATTTACATAATGTCCTTTCATACAGACATACATACCAATCTCTTAGCATCCTTCACTCTCTGTTTAGCTGCTTCAGTTGTAAACATACTATCATATATTGTTACAACATGATCTACCATATCCAACACCAACAGATACCAATGTGAATTATGGTAGTTTATTGTGATCATTATCTGCAACAAATTTCACACCCAATTTGACAAAATTCAACATTCTATATCCGAAAACATCATTTGCAATTGGTATGGTGTCTTACCTTCTCACAGTCGGTGAATTTCACATAGTTATCCAATATGACACCCCAGAAGGTAGAAATATTCTCAACACTTTCTTTGTTGTTGGCTTCCAACGCCTGTTGCTGTAATTACGCAACAAACATTATTAATTTACCGTCTATAACACTACTTTTCAATATTTATTAATTTAACTCACCACTAAGAGGTATGGAAGGTAGCCAATCCTCCGGTGTGACTTTTGAGAATCGTAGCATATGGTCCAGGCGAGCAAATCGATAACCTAACAAAATTAATTACACAATCAGAACATATTCAATAAGTTTTATTTATTTTCTACTTTTTACTTACCACACCGCCAACCCATTCCGTAGGCTTCAACGTTGCAACGTCGTATACAGTAGCGAATTGATTTCCCATTGATATTACAGAATATGTATGAATCATTAGGATTAATATCTTGTCATGAAATATTTAAATATCACTCACAAAACAATATATTTCACTTACCCCGATTCTAACTCGCTATTCCATAAATAATCACAAATTGCAGCTTCGATGTCATCGATTCGGTTGGAATATCCGCTTTTTCAACCTACAATTTTGCATACAAATTTTTGTCACAACAACATAATAAAATCAAATTAAGTATTCTTTTATTAAACTTACCTTCTGCTTCTTCTTCTGGGGTGCAGGACATTCCGAATCCAAAACTGCTGCTATAACACTCTCCGGTGTATACATGACATCGACTTCCTTCCTCCTCATTTCTTCCATCTCTTCTCTTCCTCCTCCCTCTTTTCTTCTTCATATCTTTTCAGTTCATCGTATTTTTTTTCTACATAGCTCTTCATATCTTTTATTTCACCCTTCAATTGAGCTCCTTCATCCGAGTATTTATCAACCACCCCCTTCACCCCCGTAAGTTCACTCCTCAAATCAACAACCTCCTTCACCACTCCCTCAAATTTTTCTCCCGTCACCATCTTAATATCACCCCTTAACACCCCAACTTCTTTCACCACTTCACCCCAACACTCTACTTCTTTCACCACTCCATCTATTTTTCCTTCCACTACCCCCTTATTCCTCTCGAGTGTATCTTCGACTCTCTCGAGTTTCTCTACGACTTGATCAAGTTTCTCTTCGACTCTTGATTGTCTTTGCATGATTTCAAATTGGATTTTTTTGATATCAGCCAATTCAGACATCAAAATGTCGAAGTTACTCTGTTTGCTTCACCGTCGTCCCACTCACCTTCATCCCCTAATACAACCATCCCTCCTTTCTTCTCCTCTGCCTCCACTGCCTCCTCTACATCCTTGCCAATAACCTTCAAAAAATTAAATTACAATATTAAGACATTGATTATATTCTTAATATTATTTAATTACATTTATTACCATTTCTTGCTTCTTCTCTCTATCCAACTTCAACTTCACCATCACTCTAACCACCTCTTCCTTCCCCCATGCACGGATGCGTGCCACTCCGGTTCTTTTCATAAGCCGGCACTGCCTCACAGCCCGACCAAAATCGAACAGTGCAACCTGCATTTATAATAAAATTTATATTTTTATATAAAAACACAAAAAGTGATTCAACTCATTTACCTCTAAGATTGCTATGCACCCTTTGAGGTATCTCTGGCTGCCCTTTTTAAAGGTGATTATTGATTCAATCATCTCGAATGGATATATCAGCCCAATTGAATTCACCCTTCAAGCCTTCATCGCAAATGAGCTTCATATATTCCTTGTTCGTTGACGTATCACCCGTTGGACAAAGAAATATCCCGACAAGGTACAATAGAACTCGGGCCTTCAGCTCATCCCCCAAGTAAGATCCACTTTTGATATCCTCTTCAACTTCAGTATATGTCACCTTATGATTCAAACCATATTTGGAGGCAAGTGCTTTCCAGTTCTTACTCCTACAGACTTCTATAACACTTTTGCCTTTGTTTTGTACCCCCAATACGGCTGCAGCAGTCGATACCCCCAGAGGGAATGAATAATCACCATACTTAGCCATACATTGACTGACGTCAAATTGTGCCATCAAGGATCGACACAATTCCCTCCGAATAGGTCGATCCCTTACTCCGATCAACGATCCAAAACCTATTTCTCCCAGCACATTCAACTGACCCTTCTCCTTAAGGTGTTTAATTAAAATTCACCCTTTTAATGCTGCACCTTGTCGACACTTCCTACATTTTTTAACAATATAATGTTATAGTTCTTATATATTTTGTATCAACGTATTTACAAGTTTAATGAATACCTTATTTTCATGTGCTTTCCTCCGTTCTTTGTATTCTTTACTATCATTCCTTGACTGTGTGATGTAAGGTTCCTTTTCAGCATCACTCATTGAATTCCATTTGGACCTCACATCTTTTTTCACCTAATATTAAACATAAACGTTTCTTAATCAATACATTAACACTAAATACTAATACTACTCAATGTCAATTTCATTTTACATACCGAACCGCTCTGTGTGCCATCTCCCTTCATCCTTTTGCATTCGGCCATACTGTTAACATTTAAAATTTGTAATCAATTTAAAGTTTATCGATACTTAATCCAATTACCATTTCAACAATAATAACAAAAAGACATTGATACTTACTAGAAGTACATATATCCACCCTTTGGTTGCTTTCGAGTCTCGGCCTCAATTTCAAAGTCATCTGCTCCACCAACAATTTTCCAACCCATTGACTCCATTTTTCCTTCATATATCAGTTTACGCAAATCAAATTATTTTGTTACATACACTTTTCAATATACAAATATAGATAACTACTCTTGTGGTAAAACGGTTTTCTTCAAAAGAATTTGAATGGCCACACCAAAATGTGTCGGCACATTTACAACCTATAATATCATTTTCTACCTATAATATTAATAAAAGTATCGACATTTATATTTTTCCTTGAATATCTATTTCTACCTGCAATCGGTCCCAAATGCTTCCTTACTCCAAAACCCCAAACAACACATAAAAACCCTATCGCGATTACTGTAATAATAAAAATTAGGGTTTCGACAACATACTTTTCGATTCGACTGCAGCAACAAACAAACAAACTTCGCTTTAGAAACGCCTTCTGAAATGCAGCAACAATTACTCTTCGATTTCAAAAACTCGTCCGTTCTATCTTTTTTCAGAGGATATTTAGCTATGGCCTTTATATTTTCATCGGATATGTTATTTATATTTAATCGATACAAATAAAAAAGTGTCGATACTTTTATGTCAGGTGTCAATACTTTCGAAAGGATAATTACCTATTTCTTTGAAAGTGTCGATAATTTATTACACGTACTTACGAAAGTGTCGACACTTTCAATATATCCGGTATCATTTTACCGTTTTATCATTTTGTTACCGGTTTTATCATATTTTACCTGTTATATCGTTGTGGATCGATATATTTTTTTAAAGTATCGACACATTATAGGCGCTATAACTGCTTCTTTTAAATTCACAAAGTGTCGATCCTTATATAACGTATCGACACTTTTAAATTTACCGGTTTTATCATTTTGTTACCGGTTTTATCATATTTTTACCTGGTATATCGTTTTGGATCGATATATTTTTTAAAAGTATCGACACTTTTTAGGATTTAAAACTGCTTTTAAAGTTATGTAATTTATGTTTCAATTTATTTAATAGTGTTTCATGTTTTCCACCTACAATATTAATTTAATAATTTAATTTACACAAAATTATATTTGATTGTTTTGATATTTTATAAAATTTATTTAGAATTTAAATTTAACAATATTAACCAAATATAATAATAAATATGTTTTCAACAGTGAAATAAGTATGGACACTTTTATAAAAATGATATATACTTTTTTGAAAGTTATGTAATTTATGTTTCAATTTTTTTAATAGTGTTTCATGTTTTTCCACCTACAATATTAATTTAATAATTTCATTTACACAAAAAATTATTTGATTGTTTTGATATTTTATAAAATATTATTTAGATTTTAAATTTAACAATATTAACTAAAGATAATAATAAATATATTTTCACAGTGAAATAAGTATGGACACTTTTATAAAAAGGATAGATAATTTACAATATAACAGGTAAAAATATGACAAAACCAGATTCATTATGACAAAACCGGTAAAATTTACTTGATATGTTAAACGTATGGACACTTTTATAAAAAGGATAGATACTTACCGATAACCAAAGTTTACCGGTTATCAAATTTTTTAATAGTTTTTCATATTTTCTACCTAAAACATTATTAGTTGTCAACATAATAGGTACCGCTAAACCGAATTTATTAAATACATTTTAATGTATCCGGTAATGCTGTATATTAGCCGTATATTAACCCGCCTTTCCTGAGACAATCCCTAAAATATTTTCAATTTATACAAAAATATTTTTTAAAATCACTTTTCAAAATCACTTTTTCACGTTACTTTTTAAAAATAATGCCTCTCTCTCTCTCTCTCTCTCTATATATATATATATGAATAGTTTCTGTTAATGAAAAGACAATTACAAGAGTGCGGTAAATCCCAGCATTAAAATCGTGCTTAAATTCTATTAACACTTAGTCCTCTTCTGTGTTTCTTTCTTTCCCTTATCTTGCTCTGGTCTTCAATGGCAATTCTCTCGACTTCTCACTTACTATTCCACTGTTCAAAGCCCGAGTCAGGCTGTTCTTGGAAACCCATTTGTTTCCCAGTAAAGATAGCAACACCTACCCGCAATGTCCCCGAGAAACTTGTGCTCTCTCCTCGGAGTGTCAATGAAAAGATCTCTGACTACACTTTCCCCTCCAATGGCCCTCTTCCTTTGACCCCCTCACCACCAAAGTAAGTTACCTAACCTACTCTTTTCCATATTGGCATTGATTTCGAAGCCATTGTTACCATGGTTCCCACCAGGAATGGACGAGGGGGCGGGTCGGGCAGTCGCCCTCCTGAAAATTTAAAATTACCATCTGTCCATCCCTGGTTATGTGGTGTTCTGCAAAAGTGTTGGGACGAATTCTGCTTGTTTTGTATTGGATCGTTTAGCTTATTTTGTGGATGGTAATTATGAGGGTTAGGACACATATTATCTTGCAGCTCATACGCTCATGTTTAGCATATTGAGCTGTAGAGTATGGGTTTTATGATTTATAAGTTTATAATAATATTCTTACTATTGTATCGTCATTGTTTCTTTAATGGATGATTAGAATACATTAATGATGAAAGTCCAGCACTAGGCTGTTGCTGTGTAGAAGTAAAACGTATGTTGCTTTGATTTTTCATTTTTCTTAAAAGTACCGGTGTTTGACATCTATGTATTGTCTGAATCTGATATATATTTGAGTATAGGTAGGGGAACATGAAACTACAAAGATCCTTCAAATAGATGGAAAAACTTAGAAAATATTGAATATACCCGAGTTGGAAACGTGCCGATATGGAATACTCAAACTTGAGTACGAGTAACATAGGGTAGAACTTGAAGCAATTTCTCATGGTTTTCAATCCGTTACTAGTTGAACCTTCTTTTCGATGACTTGGTTACTGTTTGATGATATTTGGATGTCTCTCTATTGATGATATTGGGAGCTATGTGACGATAATTTGCTGTCTTTCCATATCCTTACGCATCTCTCTATTGTCTTAACAGTGATGAGTCAAGGGTGAGGCGGCACACGATTTCAGTTTTTGTTGGCGACGAAAGTGGAATGATTAATAGGATTGCTGGAGTTTTTGCTAGGAGAGGGTACAACATCGAGTCTCTTGCTGTTGGTCTGAACAAAGATAAAGCACTCTTCACCATAGTTGTCTCTGGTACTGAGAGAGTGCTGCAACAAGTTGTGGAGCAGTTACAAAAGCTTGTAAATGTCTGGAAGGTACGATATTATCCTGAGCTCCTTCTTTTTACACATTTTTTTGGCTTTTTATAGGCTTGATTGTTCTTTCATTAAATTTCTCTCCTGAAATCTGTATGATAGCACTTAAGAATCTGAAGATTGTCTGTTAGAATTTATGTTACTCGACTTCCGGTGAGTGTTGGATGTGCGAGTGTTTGTCCAACACGGGTATACTCAAATTTTCTAAGGTTTTCCATACATTTGGAGAATCATATCCAATAGTACCTATACTTATTTCTAGATATGAGTACTAGACATGGGAATTATAGGGAAAATGAGGAGTCGGAACAGAGGTTAGAATATCTTAAAGTGGTAGATGACATTCTTAGATGACTATACCTTTCTACTTCCGGTGAGAAAAGAAATTAAGCGATTACTTCTTTCTGTGTCAGTTTTTGCCTTTTTTCATCACCATATTTATGGAAAATTCATTGCGTTACATGTAAATTTCTCAAATTACTTGTTTTAACCCAATGTACAGGTTGATGATCTCTCAAGTGAACCCCAGGTTGAACGTGAGCTAATGCTAATAAAAGTGAATGCCGATCCACGGTTCAGAGCTGAGGTAAATCATGCTATAACTTTTGGAATATCTGTGTTTGGAAATATGAATTAAGAATTTGCATTTAGATTTATATGCTATATAAATTGTGAGAAAGAAATGCTTATAAATTAGTAAAGATTTATTATCATATATTTGAAAGGTATGAAAATATTAATTTCAAATCCAGTACTAAATAGGCATCCAACAAATCCATGAATTTGAAAAAAGAAATTATGGATGTTACATCTATATGTGTTTTACTTTTACCACACAGTTTACATAATTTTTGTAATTCAACTCTATTTCTTTGAATTTCAAGTCCCCAAATGTATTCAAAGATTTCCTTCTAAATCCGTTCTCTCCCTCTCTCTTTTTCTGAACGGCCGACCTTCTATTGCTTATCAGATCATGTGGTTAGTAGACATCTTCAGGGCAAAGATTGTGGATATCTCAGAACACTTGGTAACTATTGAGGTAATGAATGGCAGATATGCCTTCTGTAAATGTTCATTCTTTTCCTTTCTTCTCCAACCCCAAATACCTGTCATGTTACATAAGTTAAATTTGTATATGCGGTTTTCTTATTATGATGTCTCAGAAAAAAATTATATTCAATGTTACTTGGACTTGGGTGTGAGTACTTGTTACATGTATATTATGTACTTGGAAGATCCTTGAGGGTTATATCGTCATACCCATGTCTGAATATGCATCGGACTGGTAGTTGGATGCAGGTACTTCAAGAAAAATGAAAAGTTGCTGACTATAAGATAATATTATTGGCAATGCCACTGGATTATCATCTTGTCGCTTCAGAATTTTGGGTGCTTGCCTACAGATGAGGTTCTTTGAGAGTCCTTGTTGACTGAGAATGAAGAAATTTTAGCTGCAACATTGGTGCAGCCTAGAAATTAAGAGTAACTCAATAAAGTCTATAGAAACATAATTTGCATGGTAGATAAGTGTTTTTTTGGAGCAAAACTATTTAGACATGGAGGTCTCGTATCCCTCTCTTTCAGTTTTGGTGTTTGACTGCGGAATAGATCAAATCCTAGTAATATTTCTAAAGTTGAGGTGAGGAACACCCTTTTTTGTTAATGTTTTTCCGCATCATGGACCCTTAGATAGGAATATGGAGATGAAGAGAGAAACAAAGAATGTCACTATAGTGTGAAGAAAGAGTTTTAGATTTTAAGTATATCACAATGTCCCTGTTCTTGTTATCCATTTGAAGTGATATTCGCTAGAGCTACTTATAGAGCTTCTAGGATGGAGCCTTATTATTTATTTTGGTTATGGTTTTGTGGGGGATGAAGGGATTCAATTGTATTCTTGCAGTTTGAAATAATAAGTTACTTATCATGTGTTGAACCCAGGTAACTGGAGATCCTGGCAAGATGGTTGCTGTGCAAAAAAATTTAATGAAGTTTGGGATCAAAGAAGTTGCTAGAACAGGAAAGGTAATGACCTTTCCTATAAATTACTTTATAAAAATTTCTAGTTAGTACTTTACTAGTCTTCGACCAATCAACTTCTTTTATTCTCTATCTCCTATAAGATTGCTCTTAGAAGGGAAAAAATGGGTGCATCTGCTCCATTCTGGAGATTTTCAACTGCTTCTTATCCAGATCTTCAAGAAAAAGTACCTATCAGTGGTGTTGCTGGGGCCAGAGATAGATCAGTATTTAGTGAGGCTGATGTTTCTGGAGGGGTAAGCATTTTTCTTAGCTTTCAGTTTGATTTTTCCCTAGTAAAGTATATTTTTAATTTCTTTGTATTTGGAAAATGTCATATCTATGGTTAGCTTAATAGTGATTATCCACCATGCTTTTGTGACTTTAAGTTCCAAACATTGGTATAAAATCAAATTAGGGCTTTTAGGTTGCACCGTTTAGGATTATAGTAGAAAGATACATGGTTATTGATGCTTCTGACTCTCATAGATTGTGCTTTTATATCCTTATATAACACTTGGATTCTTACAGTTTCTGATCCAAAATCTATAGTTTATGCATTTTATCTGTTCATACAGGGGGATGTTTATCCAGTAGAGTCGGCTGATGGTTTTACAATCAATCAAGTTCTTGATGCTCATTGGGGTGTCCTCAATGATGACAACGTAAGATTGCTTATTGTTTATCTTTACTCATCCATACTCATGCTTCTTAAGGAGACATGAGCGAGCCATCGGTTTCATGACTTCCGAGAATGGTGTGTTTGACTTTTAGTTTGGGTTGGTGCTGAAGTTTTCTCATTCTAGAACATGCTTGGCTTGCGCAGTTTGAAGTTGTAAAGCTATTGCTACTTCATCTTTTATTCATAAGATGAGTCATCCATTGGAGCTTTCTTATGTCTTTTGATTAGAATCCACCTGTTCGGCGTTCGCCTCCTAGTTATCACTCTTAGATTTACTCAGATCTTACCTCATTTATTTTGTTCCCAAAGCTCTCCCACAATGTAGTGCTGGACAATACTGATGTTGTTTCTAACAGTTGTATTTCAAGAAAAGAATATCTAAACTTCAAGGCTTTTGGAATTTAGTAAAAAGGATAACCAGATATAAGCCAATTTAATTTTGTTTAACTTGTACAAGATCCAAATTCCCAGCTCATTGAGCTAGTTTATAAAATGTATCAGTTTGGTAAGCAGCGTACATTAGTTTAAGAGAATAATATTTTTGCTTATGTTTTTTCAGACGAGTGGACTTCAATCTCACACTTTATCCATGATTGTAAACGACTCTCCCGGAGTTCTCAACAATGTTACAGGGGTTTTTGCTCGAAGAGGCTATAATCTTCAGGTAGGTTTCGTCTTGTTATTTCTTATCTCTGTCCTCCTTTTCTCATCATACGATTTCTCACCTGCTGAATCCACTTTACTATTACCAGAGTTTGGCTGTTGGACATGCTGAAACAGAGGGGCTCTCTCGCATAACAACAGTTGTCCCCGGTACAGATGAATCAATTAGTAAGTTGGTGCAGCAACTCTGTAAGCTCGCGGATATTCATGAGGTAAGATTATTTGGAAAGGCACACTTAATATAATTTTCTGTTGCACTTGCTTGCAAACTGTTTTTGTGGATTCTGGCAGAATTGTTTTGTTGGGTAATAAGCAAAATAGTTCGAGAACGAGAAATATGGATTTTTGATGGAGCTGCATATGACATGATGCAGCCTCAAGATTTTTCTTTTCTGTCTTCAGCTGCTGATATTTGATAGATGCATCATTATCGACCACGTTGTTTGAAAATATGTAAAGTGAATTCAGTGGCTGACTGTCATTAACTTCTTAGGTACAAGATCTTACCCACTTGCCATTTGCTGAAAGAGAATTGATGTTGATAAAGATTGCTGTGAATGCTGCTGCTCGACAAGATGTCCTCGACATCGCCGACATATTCAGAGCCAAGGCTGTTGATGTTTCTGACCACACAATCACTCTAGAGGTAAATATCCTTTCTGGGACTTTACTTTTGTTTGACTGCGGATACGGATGAACATGATTTGAATGGTTGTTGCAGTTAACGGGAGATCTAGACAAGTTGGTTGCACTGCAGAGATTGTTGGAACCCTATGGCATTTGCGAGGTTGCTCGAACTGGGCGTCTAGCGTTGGTGCGAGAGTCGGGTGTGGACTCCAAATATCTCCGTGGATACTCTTTGCCTTTATAAGTTATTTTGGAGAATCAATTCCGGAAAGGTTGAACAATCAAAGCTCTGGCGCTTCTTCTATCTGAAACTTGCTTTCTGGCATTGCTTGACAATGTTTAATGCAAAATTGACTATGAAAACTATGTTTATGAACAACATTCCATTTATAAGAAACTAGAATGCTTGTTCTAAATCCCTTTTATTCCATTTATAAAATTGACTAGATTGCAAGTAGGGTTTCTAGAGTAAAATTGACTAGGGTTTTAGTCACGGATAGAGAGCAGAGTGGTTGAAGGCAATCATTTTCTTAAAAATTTTAAATTATTATATATTTTAGATATTTTTTTTATATTTTCTATTGATAATCTGATTCCACCTTCTTAAAATTTTATAAGTTTGTCTCTTTTTTAATTTTAAAAGTCCATCCCTTAATTTAAAATTCTACGTCTGTCTCTCTCTCTCTTCAAATACTGCTTTTCCATGTTCTTCGGGCAGACAGCAATTCACATTGGTTCTTCAATATAACTTGTTTGCTCCTTACCACTTCTTCACGGGACATTGTTGATTGATTCAAAGAAATAAAACAGATGAAAGCAGTTAAATAAAAGAAAAATATGCAGACAAGAAGATGTCACCCACCGGAGATCCAAAGACAAAAACAAGTAGAAGAAATGAGATCATGTGGCATTGATTGACATTTTCAGAAAATAAGTGTTAGAAACAAACTCCAAACTGGTACACTTTTTTAGTTTACCAAATATATGTGTAATTTTGATAAAAAGAATTACCAAAATTTAGCATTTCTCTATTTGATTTTGAAGATCAGATACATATTAAAACTTGGATAATATATTATCGTAAATCATATACAAATAATATTTTTATTGAGTCTCTCGACTATTAAAAGTTACAAAATGATCACCCGATTATTTAGTATATTCCAAACTCGTCTATTTCCGTTAAAAAATTTGACGGGAGTCTGAATTGAATGTTAACCTGATGATTAAGGTATAATAAAATCTGATCCTATAATCTAAAAAACCTATCATATCTCAGTCAATAAGTTAACATCCAACTCAGAATGTTGTCAATTTTTAGAGAAAAAAGACAGTTTGGAACATACTAAATAATCGGGTGACTATTTTATAACTTTCAATAATCAGAAAACTCAACAAAACAACACCCTATAGTTGAAAGATTATTTTATAACTTTTAATAATCGAGGAATCCAATAAAATATCACTCTATAGTTGAACTATTTTGTACTTTACCCTAAAATATTATAATTATATTACTGTTATTAAAATTAAAAAATCTATTGAATAATATTAATGATAAAAGATAATGCTATTTTTCTTAAAAGATACAAGTTCGAGCAACTGTGTTTATAGGATAAATACGTTGTTAATAGACTAAGAATTTTTTTTTAAAACATATATTAACTTATAATCCTATCATAATAATAATTCAGTACTTTTTGGGGATTTATTATAAAAAAATTATTTTATTTTAAAACTGTTTTGAACTAGTATCAATTAAAGAATGATGAATTGTAGGGCAAATAATGAAGAGAAACATTACGATTTGAGGTTAAATCTCAGCAATCGATACTTCGATTCATCTCATCAAGAATGACGACGAGTGCAACAATGAAAGCGTAATCCACATTGGGGTATGCAGTTATTCCGTAATTGTCAGCGTTGATTACCAGACTTCTTATGTTGTGATTTCTGTGCATCTGTGAGTTTAATTTTGATAAGAGTGCATGTAAAATTGGAGAAGATGAAAATTGAGATGTGAATTACCCGAGCAATGATGGTGTCTCCACAGAGAACAGTGCAGCTGCTGTCATGCCAGTTCTCTTTGATTCTGAAATCAGGAAGTATTTCACTGGTATTGGATGCCAAGAACACATCTAACGACATCGCCATCCTCGTTTTCATCCTCAACAGAATCAATGACGATTTCCTCACACTGAACAGAAAATCACTCGATTTCTCGCTTTCCCCTCTGAATACTTTCCATCTCCTACGAACACTAAATATCTAACCCCACATACATAAATATTCATTTAATTTTACTTCAGTTTTCTCGGGAAAAAAAAGGGGGGAAGGGGAAAGCAAAATTACCTTCTGTCTCAGAGAAACGAGAGGACGTCCATCGGCGTCAAACATAACGCGACGATTAGGGAAGCTGAACAACTTATCCCTGACCTTGAAAACAGGGTTGCCATTGTCGTCGGTAATATCAAAGTAATTTTCAGCAACTGTAAATATCGTATGTTGTATTTTCAGTTCCACGGGGTTTGGGGCAAGGAACTGTTTATCGATCACCACGATCGGGTCACTCTCCGCCGTATTGACACTGGCCAGAGATGCAGCTTCTGACGCTGGCTTTGGCACCTCTTCTCCCTTCGCAACTGTCATTAAATATTGAAAACAATGAACAAATCTACAGAAAATTCCGTATGATATTGACAATTAGATACGCAAAATTCATTTGCCGATCACTGCTTTTGTTTCCAAGGAGGCAAAACTTACCGGCCATGAAATGTTTGTTTCAACGATTTCACATACTACGATTCAAATTAGGGTTAACCATTTTCTCTTCTATAAACAAAGAGAATTAACTCTTTTTTTTTCTTTTCTTCTTTTCTTTCCTCCCACCCGCCCAAACACACAGATAAACAAAACTTAAAATAATTATGCAATGATGTTGCCGTCTTCTCCACGCTAAATTTAGCGTGCGGTGGTTATAGGATAGCGATTGGCCACCGACGGTGTGTTTTCTAATATCAGCCTACTTCCACAATGATGCATGTAATTTTGGGTAATAACAGATTTGTATAATTGTAATTGTTGTAGCGTGATAATAAATATTTGTGAAATTGTATTTTTTGGGTAAAATACACAAATGATCCCCCGATTATAGGATGCTACTTTGTTAAGTCTCCTGGCTATTAAAAGTTATAAAATAGTCTCCTAACTATAGAGAGTTACGTTGTTGAGTCCCTTAACTATTAGAAGTTGCAAAATGGTCACTCAACTATTAATTATGTTCCAAACTGGTCCTTTTTTGTTAAAAATTTAAAGATCGTCTGAGCTGGACGTTAACATGCTGACTGAGATATGATAATCGTTTAAGATTATGAGATTAGATTTTATCATGTCTCAATTAGTATGTTAACGTCTAGCTCAGACTGTCATTAATTTTTTTACATAAAATGACTAGTTCAAAACATAATGAATAGTCAGGTGACCATTTTGTAACTTTTAATAGTCAAGGAACTCTCTATAGTCAGATGATCATTTTGTAACTTTTAATAGTTGAGGGACTCAACAAAGGAACTCTCTATAGTCGGATGACCATTTTGTTACTTTTAACAGTTGGGGGACTCAACAAAATAATATCCTATAGTCAGGGGACCATTTGTGTACTTTACTTGATTTTGAATGATTGGTAAAACTTTTTCTTTTCTTTTCTATATACGGGATTTAGTATTCGACTCGTGAATTTCTTATGGTTACAAGAATTTACCCTTATTTTAAAAATGATTTAGAGGATAACTATTGGGATTAGACTTGATTTAGCTTATGCATGGACTAAGAATATTTTAATAAGATTTTTGAGGTAATTTGATTTTGTCTGGATATATATTGTAGTTGATTGCTTGCTTGCTTTATGTTAGTAAGCATGTTTAGACAAATAGATAAGTATATAAAATAATTATGTTAAATTATAAGATAAAATAGTTTGATTGGACTAAGTTACAAGTATGATATTAGTATGTTAAATATGTTGGTATGTATAATTGACTTTAATTTTCTAAAATGACCATATAAGTTCTTAAAAAGTAACTTATAATCCATATATTTTTAGGTATAATGCTAAAATTAGCTTGAACGTTTACTGTCATTTTGCCATATATTCTGTTTTTTTGAAGTATTTTGGCCCGTAACGTTTCATTTTAGAATAAAAAGATCCCTAACATTTGACAAAATAATCACTGTCTCTTATTATTTTGTGTGTGGATATTTTAGCCCTCAACATTTCATTTTAGATTAAAAAATGTTTCTATTTTAGAGCGTTAATCATGTGTTAACTAATGGTTTCGTATATGCATGCGTATGCGTATACGCATACACATACACATACTATATAGTCTATAAATGTATAAAATCTTTTGCATTTATAGATATATCCTCATTAATATTTCCTATTATATTTATATATTCATGTTGATTTTTTTATCATTTTGTATATATTTTTCTTTATATTATATAGATTTCTATTTACATTAATATATCATATATATATATATATATTTCTATATTATTAATTTTAGTACGATTTTCCTATATATACATACATACATACATATATATATATATATATATATATATATATATATATATATTTATTAAAATTAAAGCAATAATTTTTAAATAGTTTGAGGTAATAACAATGTAATATTTGTTTATAATTTTCTTAATCAATGAGAATGTATACACACCCTACAGATGCAACTCTTCGAACTTTGGATCTCTAAGAAGAATAACATTCTTTTTTACCACTGAGATCACTTGATAAGTTTAAAATCAAAATAATATTTATTTATTAGAATAATCAAAAGATATTATCCAAACATATTGTAATGTGATTTTTTTGGATAATTCGAATTAGAGGAACACATTTTTTCAAAAAATAAATTTTAATATTTTCAATATTCTTAAATATATATTAAGTAATTCATACAGTGACATTTATTTCATTTTATTACATCATATTGTATATTCTTAAATATGAGAGTATCCATTTTACCTAATCTCTGTTTCGAAATTACATTCAACAACACTTAGATCCACAAGGCATATTCATTAACAGATAATAAACAAGCAATTTACCAAAATTCAAAAGGGGCTCATTATTCTCCAAAATGTTTTGATGTGAATGATGTTTCATAAAGGTATTGAATAGTTAAACCATCACACTTTATTCTTTACTTCAACTAGTTCGTGTCCACACCGGAAGAGTTTGAACAAGAGACAACGAGTTGTTGACTCATCAACGGGAGAGCCAACGAGTTGTTGACTCATAAATAGCATACTATTTTAAAACCATTGTACCAAACCTATTAAGGTTATTGAAGCAGAAACCTATGATTTCTTCACTTACAATAGGGGTGTTATGCTTAGAGAAACTTTTGTGGATGAACCATCATATAGTGATCTCTTCATTCACGTTTGAAGTCGGATGCTTTACATCCTAGCCATGATGTAATCCATTGCATCTACAAGGAAATCTGCAGCAAGAAATTATCGTTCATTAAAAACGCAAGTACTGGATGCTATGATAATTATCCGAAGAAGAGAAACCGACCTGCATCTTCCTTACTGAAGCAGAGAGGAGGGGTGATTCTAAATACATTGCCATAAAATCCACCTTTTCCGACCAATACTCCAATTTCTAGAAGAACCAAATAAATAGGCTTGTTAGTAAGTTGAAGCATACTACACTTTCTATGGTATGATTAATGTGGGGATTGGAAGAACCTAAACCTTTCATCTGGTCCATTATGTGAAGAGTTTCAAGCTTTGCAGGAGTCTTGAGCTTCTGATCGGTGACAAATTCAACTCCAAGCATTAATCCTTTTCCTCTAACATCACCAATCACTTCAGACATCCGTACATGGTACAATCAGGCAACGTTAGTCGCCGTTGGATCAGAGAATGTTCAAAGCGGAATATACAGGAGAAAGGATAAAAGCTTACGGTCATATTTATCTTTTAGTGCTGTTAGTCTCTCTTTCAAATAGGTCCCAACAACAAATGCATTTTCCTGGAGCTTTTCTTTTTCAATTACTTTCAGGACGGCTAAACCTCCAGCAGTACATACAGGGTTCCCACCGAAGGTATTGAAGTAATTCCTGCGAGTCAAGACCGCCGCAATCTCAGGGGTAGTTACCACAGCACCCAGAGGGATGCCATTTCCAATGCCCTGTCCATGTGATAAAAGAAACATGTCGATGCATAAAAGTTAGCTGCAAATGAATGGATAAGCTACACAAAAACAGATTCTGGCGGTGTACTTTGTTTAAATTTAAAAGGAAAAAAAACATCTACCATCAGAATAAGATTACTGTTATAATGTATATCTATAAAAGGCAGGCAGGTGGGATCTTTTAATAACACTAAGATACTGAAAGAATTTATAACCTTCGCCATTGTCACTATGTCAGGAACAACCCCATGGTTCTCAAATCCCCAAAAATGGCTCCCTGTGCGAGCAAACCCAGCCTGAACCTCATCAGCAATGCAAAGACCTCCAGCTTTCTTTATGGTGCTATAAACAGCAGGCAAGTAACCTGGGGCCAATTCTATGATTCCACCAACTCCCTGTCAATGAAAACATGGAATGTTAGGTGATGTAGTCTTCACTAGGAAATCATATGAAATTTTGATAGAAGAAAATGAAGATTGAAGGAGACTCTGAATATTGGTGATTACTTGTATAGCTTCAGAAATGAAACCAGCAATGTTGCCTGAAGTTCCAAACTGGATAAGATCTTGGACATCCCTTGCATACTTCTCTCCATCAGAACCAAAGACACCGCGGTACGGGTCTGGGTTTACAGCGTGATGAACTCCACTCTGATGTACATATTTATGAGTTAGGCATACTTAAGTTGACAGATTTCTATTTCATAATATCAAAACTTGGCATATTAATATTAAAGAGTAACATAACAAGTTAACTTTATAAGCCATAACATTGGGTTATATGCAGTGTATATATGGAATGGTTTGGGCATGATCAGACAATTAGGTTGATTTGATTTTTAATTATATCTGCTTTAGATATTATCAAAAAATGTACACATATTTAGTACTAAAGATATTAAACATTACATAAATAAAACCTGTGTCTAATAGAGGATTCATTGGCTGTTTGCCATACAGAAGGGGATTGAATTTTAGACACTGCATCCACCCTTTAGAAGGGAAAAGGGAAAAAATGGAGAGGGAGATGTTGAAGTGTTCTTTTGTCTTTACATCAGCACGCTGCAATCATATGGCATGTTTTGCCAGCTATCATTGTCAAAAGTTATGGACCTTATGGTGTAAAAGATAATAAACGGTGGTCCATGCAAAAAAAGAACTAGCTAACATCATGTGATGCATTAATACGTATTTTCTACTCACGCAACTTTGAGGCAAACCTATGCACAAGTTTTCCGATAAGTTCTAATAGAATGCAGATAATTTACACAATTAATATGTCTTTCTCTGTTTTCATCATTTCCCTTTATACTGAAAAGAAGGCAGCTCATCTGTACATACAATCCAAAAGATTAATATTTATTTACTTTTAGCATTTTAGGCACTATTATATCAATTACAGAATCCTTTTACCAACTAGGCAATTGGATGTAAATTACTAGTACAATGTTTATGTCATAGCAAAAAAAATATGCTGGTTGGCAATCCAACAATAAAGTAAGATTGACATGACATCAGTGTGTCCTAAGAACCACCTACCCAAGTTATTTCATCTTTAACAACTGTAATCAAACACAAATATCTGGGCCAATACTTGAGGTACAACAAATCTTTCAAGAATATACAATGAGAAAAGGAGCCACATACCTGTATAACATTGAACTTCCAATTACTTTGTGCAGTGGCTCCCATGGTCCCCGCAGCATTCCCATGATATGCATTCCTCAATGATATTATGTCATGGCATCCGGTATATAGTCTTGCTATCATCATCGCCAACTCATTTGCTTCTGTCCCTGAATTTGTAAAGAATACTACCTACATAACCACAAAACAGAAACCCAATTTATTATACAAAAAAGAACGGCACAGACCAAATCCATATATGCATAATATTACAATGACCGGCATAAAATAAATAAATAAAAATTCCTTGTGCATTCTTCAACTCTAAGTTCCTTTCGAGAAATAAAAAAAGATCTAACTTGAGTCATAAGTTGATCTTAAGTTATCTCATTGATAGGGTTTAGGAATGAAGCATGCTCTATATACCCAGTATTATCTCAGAACTGGAAGTGTGGAAGTAAGTACAAAGCAATCACCTTGAGATTGCCTGGTAACTTGTTTGCAAAGGCCTCAGCGAAATCAGCGATGCTATGGTTGAGGTAGAGAATAGTGGAATGTTGCAAGCGCTTGGTCTGATTGACGATTGCTTCTACTACGTCAGGGTGACAATGGCCGCAACACACAGTAGCAATCCCTCCAAATGCGTCTAGGTATCTTCGCCCCTTGTCATCGAACAAATACTGCATCCTCCCATCTACTATGTTCAGCTGAAAACAAGGAAAAAAGGAATATTCATTATCCATTATTACAATAACAAAATTAACAATTATCAAACCAACCCGGTCCAAACCCGTTGTTTAGCACAGTGGCCAACGGAGTTCACCACAGCCCTCGTTAATGGATTTATACAGGATTTGTCCGGTTCTATATGTGGGTGATGTGGGGCCGTGGAGAACGATTTACTCGAGTAAGTAGTAATCCTAGCGGTGGGACCACACGAGTAAAAATTCACATAAGGACAAATCTTCTGCTAAGATTTAGTTCAATGAATCCGCTAAATCAGCCAAACCATACAGATCGTGATTAAGTGCCGTATTGAACATTCTAAATAATTTCATATTCTTCATCGTCTTATTTATTAAGTTAAAAAACAAATAAAAAGAAATCAATTGAGTGAATAATAAATATTTTACAAGACATTTAGATTGTTAATTAACGAAAAATATCAAATTAAAATCCACGGTTTGCATGTACAGAAACACGTTGTAGACGTTACCAAAGAACCTTCCATTGATACAAAAAGAAGTTTCAAAAAGGAACTCACTGGTTTGCTGTACAAGGTGAACATGGCGGGGCTGAGATACTCCTTGCGTTTGGAAAGGATCTCTTCGGCGGAAGGACCGGTGTATGGAGGTGGAGAGTAGTCAAAGGAGGGCATTTTAGGAACAAAGCCATCGTTGTTATCGACCTCATTCTGAGCCACCAGAGAAAAGCAACGTCGTTGACGGCTGAGAGAATATTTAGTTTCCGTTAATAACCTCCTCACCGGAATAAATCTCTGCATCTTTTATCGTCGAAAATGTAGGAATGCGTTTGGTTGTTTGGATACTAAAAACGCAAAACTGTGAAGGGAAGATACAGAGGAGATTCAGTTTTGATTTGAGGCGAGGGTTGAGAACGCAAGTTTATATTTAGAATCAAGGCATTGCTGACGTGTACTTCAGTGTGTGTTGTGCTGGCTGAAAACGAGGTATAAAGAAATGCCCCTCTTTTACTTTATAATTACACTTTTGTCCTCATTCATACCTGGCTTAATATTGGCCGTCGACGAAATGTTGCCAGTTGTCACGTTCTATTGGCTGTCATATCTGATTGATGGTCAGGCATAAAAATGACGAGTTAATTAATTTTGGATCTCCGTTCTAATTAGTTTTATTATAAAATCTTATATAAAGATTTAAAAATTAAAAATATTATTAATATTTAATTATCAATCTAAATATCTATTATAATTAGAACATTATGCATTAAATAATTTTTTTGGATAAGTCGCGTATCATATATTATCAAAGAAAGCAGTCTAGCTGCTACAAACAACCAGTCAGCCACAATAACCTACAAAACTAACAAAAATCAGATAAAAAATTTGATTCTGTAGAATCACAATCAAACCAATACAACTAGACAGATTGGTCCTAAAAAATGTCCCAATCAACACACAAAATCACATTAATCCTATCACTTCAATCGATAGAACATTTACTCAATTTAACCCTAATCAACCCTTTACACGTTTAAAAATGACAGAAATAGATGCCTAGTTACTTTAAACAAACGATGATTACGTTTTTCCCAAATGTAATAAAAGAACTCCACCCAAACCAACTTTAGGATACGAACAAGAAAAAAACTACCTTTCAAGTTTTTCATTGCCCACAAAAACTGATCATCCCAACTCAATCCTATGAAATGCAGTCGGCAAGTACACAAAATTTCCCTCCAAACCTCCCTTGAGAAGGACCACTCAATGAACAAGTGGCACCTAGACTCCATAGCAACATCACAAAGACTACACAAGCCATCAGTGACTATCCTAAACCGAGTTAATCTATCTTTTGTAGGCAGTATGTCCAATATGGTTATCCAAGCTATAATGGAATGCTTCGGCACATGGGAAGCCTATGCCACTTCACTTTTTCCTTAACACTCTAGTATTTTCCCAGATCCACCTGCAATCAACCTTAGCCCAATTCAAATCCATTTGAAATGAGCCTTGCACTCCATATGCCAAAATCAGCACCCTTCAACACATTCTTTCAACCAAGCCACCCAAAGAGATCCCTCATTGGCAAGAATATTTCTAACCAACAACAGATTACATACCCTACTCCAGCAAAGCAAACTTCTCAATCCCAAACTCTCCTCAGATTTCAAGGAGCAAACTTGAGACCAGCTTACCTGAGCCCTCCCTCTTCGCAGGAACATCATTGTCCTTCCAGAAGAAAAAAAAGCATACACAATCTCTCTATCAAAGGGATGGGCAAAGCTTGATTCCAAAACATCATTATATCAACCACCAACTCTATGAGTTTGCAAACCTTGTCTTCTACTGGATTGTTTGCATACTTCATTTCAGAATCAGGACGACGATGCTTTGACCTGGCAAACCAATGGATATATACATTATCGTAATCATCAACCAACATAAAATTTTATGTTAAAAATACAAAAGTAAATCGTCAATCAAAAACTTAAAAAATTTATCTAAAATATATAATAATTTAAAATCTCAAAAAAAACTACTGTCCAATCTGTCCTATATCGTTGATCACAATAATTTTAAATTATATATTTTAGTCGAGTTATATTAAGTTCTAGATAAGTCTAGTGTGATGACGATCTGACGGACACGACGTTATTATTGTGTTGTAGAGTTAATCCAGTAACGCACTTCTTTATCTTTTCTTTTTATTTCATAAAAATTTCGATTAACTTATGCAGATAATAACTTTGTTATAAAAAATATTTTTGTCATCAATTATTTTATATACAAGTTACCAAAATTATTTCTTTTGTTCTGACTACACGAGTTGTTTTTTATTTTTATTTTGACCATTCATACTTAATTTTGTTAATATGGTGGCATATAGCATTTCTTGATTGATTTAGAAAAAATAAAATAATTATTTGAAGGATTGCGAGATGGGATTTAGGGGCTGTTTGATTCAAGGCATAAGATATTATTGGGGGAATGAAATCTTCATTCCCTCGTTTGGTTGACCAGTAATCATATTCCCGATAATATTTTATTACCAACAATAGATTTTTTTGGGCATATTACTGGAAATGTGGTTACCTCATTTCCTTAGATATTGTTGGATTACCGGCGTTGTAGACTAAAATGTCTTCTTCTGTCGTTGAATAATAAAAATTCTACGAAGGTTATCCAACAAATTTATCCTTAAATTATTTTAGATTTACTAAAAAAAATCTATAATTAAAATTTTATATGAAGTTCAGGGGTTAAAATAAAATTTTACCCTTTCATTAAACCTACTTATCTTTTCACTTTTGTAAAAAAAATTATATAAATTTTATGAATTTAAAATTTCTAAAGAAAATATATAAATTAATTATAGTAATATTATAATAGAATTCAACTTGTTAAAAAAACAAATATATAATAAGGACAATTTGGTAAAATATACATTCTAATAATCTTTTATTAATTTTACCAAACAATGTAATCTTATATTCATGCTAAACCAGCCAAACATAAAATACAACATTCCCAGTAATCCTATTCCCCGGTAATCTTTTATTCCCACTGATAATCTTACATTTCGTAAACCAAACGCACCCTTAAGTGCTCTAAAAAAAAATCCTCCAGTTTATAGCCACTTCACCTAAATATTACATTTATTATATGATTGAGACTATACTTGACTATTTAAAAATATAAAACTATAAAATAAAATAATATTATTTAAATAATTTAATTTTTAACTATACAAAAAAACATTTAATTATTCATTTCTATTTAATATTTTCATATCATGATTAATATAATTAATCTGAACTTTAGTTTAACCTAAAGTCTTTTTGTTATAGCTTTACTTGAACAAGTATCTTCTCAACAATGTAGTGAATGTAACACCGAGTGCAGTCTCTATGCATTGAAGGATTTTTTTGTAGATAGGGTCTGAGTTCAAATCTCAGCTTCAACCCTTAAATTTTATTATCAGATAAATTATCTATTTAATCACCTATATATTTTTATGTTATTGTTTTGACCATTTAATTATTTATTTAAAAATTATATCTAATATTATTCTTCTGTTTTGGTCACTCATAACTAAATTTGACCGTTGAGTTAAAGAAATTGATGATGTGACATAACATAGTAACAATTTTAACACTCTAATTTACACATTCCATCAAATTATTCATAATTCAAATTATTAAAAAAACCCTTAAAATTCTTCAAAAAGAAATCTCTCTCTCAAATCTCACCTTCAGCCCTCCAAATAATTGTCTTATTTTCTAAAAATCAATCAAGAGGTGACATGTATCATCTTACCAACAAAATTAATCATATGTGACCAAAAAGAAAACAAAAAGTTAAAGTGGGTGACCATAATGAAAATCAAAGCCAACAATAGTGACTTGTTTGCAATTTTCGGTGACCTAAATTGCTGACAGATGGGTGACTACGTAGTTTATCCAAAGAAATATTGTATTGGTTTTTATAAGTTATCTCGTTTCTGACATGTTTAACATTATAAATTTTGCCAGTAATGGAGGGTTTTTAAATTAATATTCTTATTGTTATCTCCGATGAAACCAACATTGAGTTTCGTCAATCAAAATGGTTGGTTCCAATACGTTGAATCATATAGCACATGCTGGTATACGAAGCAGAGTCTTATTGATTCCTACATTTCACGTTTCATAATGTACTTATATATACACACTCATGTCAGATACTAAAATGGATATAATAAAAAATATAATCATACATAAAAAGCTGAAAAAATAAATTAAATAATACGCCAGAACTTCAATAGATATTGAATATATTCATGTTGGACACATATTATGTTTAACGCATGAACTAATATAACTGCAAATTAATATTCTATAAATATTTGTGCTTATGTATAACAATTCTAACAAGGAAACACTTCAAAATACAGATTACTCAAGCTATAGATATGAAGACTGCAATGGATATGTATAAGTGAGTTGTGTTTATAGTTCAAGGTTTTCAAATTTGTCTGAAGGTCAGATTAAGACGACCGTGTCGAAGCCCGGTTTTGGTTTTAAGAGGCTCAGGAGCGGAGGATGGGACGATGGATGGAACCCCATGAAACACCATTCGGGATTCACCGCCGAATAATAGTACGTCCCCCGATTCTAATAACACTTTCTTGGCTTGGTCAATTTCCCTCCCATCACCATATAGGAATTCGGCAGAATCACCGATGGAGAAAGAGACAACAGGTAATCCTTTATAGAGACTATCTCTGCTTTCGTCTCGATCCTGCAATACAAAGCATATTATGAGTTTATTACTTTGTTAAGGCTTTGATGTTCAAAGGTTGTAAATCCAAAGAATGTCCAAGTAAGAACAGACCTGATGGAGGCCGAGTCGACCATGAATTGAATAGAAATTTATGATGCATATGTTTGGAGTCATTGAAGGAAGTATATCTTCTGGATTGACCATATCAGAATCCTTCTTGATCAGGCAATGAGCATCTTTGATTGCACTTTGAACCAGGAGACGAAATCCCAGCGGAATCTCGGGTGGCTCACAATTATCAACTGGATGTCGCTTATCGTATTTTCTTGTCTGAGGATCCCAATTCAAACCAAGACACATCATGTGAAGTCTAAGTTTTGCTCCATCTTTGTAGCCTGGCCTATAAAATCCCCCAGGGCCTTCACCAAGTGAATTGCACGTTTTGACTATATTGATCTGAGAAATTAAGATAAACAAATTCATTATCAGATAAACCCAATTCTCACAAGAGAATGAAATTGAATTAAAGCTAAGCCTCGAGGGCAAAACCTGATCACGAAGGGATATATAATGTTTCAGCAAAACCATTCCAGGCCTTAGGATTTCTTGTGCTTTGATATCTCTAAATCGAGGTAAGCATATATTGAACCTTTCAGGCTTAGGCAAACCCTCGGAACAATCAGAGCTCTTAGTACCAACAACATTATTGGATTTTTCGAAGTATTTACGATAAACCTTCTTCTTTCCAAAATGGCTAGGAAAATAATTTTCTTCCTGCACGCTTGCAACCTTCACAACTCCCTCATATTCAGATTCCTGCAAGCTCACAATTCCCTCATGTTCAGATGAATTAGCAGGACGAGGCCTCGGCCGCAATCCCAAATCAATCCAGGTTCCGCCGTCTTCCTGTAGGATTGCAATCCCTTCGAGTTCAGAAGAATTAATAGCTTCTTGCATCAGCTCGAATGCTGAACCAGTCCTTTTTCTCCAATTTTCAAAGTTCTTACCTTTAGAACTAGAACCAACATTCACAGACAATGAAGGAAAGTTTTTCTCATAGCTTGATTGAAATTGCTTCTGATTTATATTTCCCCCCAAAGAAGATTGGCTTGTTTCTTCAGCAGAAGATTCATTGCCAAAGGGCTTTTGAGCAGTAATATGTTGTTTCTAAAACAAACCCAAATAAATTTCAGTAATTCCTCTCAAATTAACCAACACAGTTGAATTAAAATAACAAAAAGAAGCAGCCATGGGAAATAAATCATAAAATAAACCAGTGGAGTGTAATTATTCTAAGAACCTTATACAATTAAAATTTGACCAAAATTCTCAAAAAATAGAAAATTTATTCAGAGATTGGAGAACTCACCGACGAATATACAGAATTGCTGGAAATGTGTTTCTGGGAAGCATTCATCTTCTTCATAAAACAATATGGAAGAGAAATTTGGCGAGAGATAAGGGCAGCAGTTGATAAGCGACAATGGTCGAATCGAGTTATTCGCTGTAAAGCAAGCATTTTTTTTATAAAGGATAGGCGAAGGTGCTAAATTAAATGCGCCGTTAGAGACGATTGAGTTCACCGAAGAGTCAAGGGAGAGTAAAGGTGGGCGACGATAAGCTTGCCGGCGAAGATTTCGATTCTCCGCCGGATTTCGAAGAGTCAGTGTTTTTGTTTTGACGAAAGACGAAAGATCTTCCAGGTTTTGGAGTTGGACCGATCTTGGCCCATATTAAGCTACAAATAATAGATGAATTGGACCAAAAAAATTTCTTTATTTTGTTTCTAAATCCATCTAAATTCTTTCAAAGGGACGAATTATTATTTAATTTGATGCAAATCATTGAGATTTGTCAATTTTTTAAAACTTTTGGGTCATATTTATTCAACTACCGTCGAGCTAGATTAAAAATAAGTAAATTACATATTTAATCATGTACTTAATATGATGATAGTTACTTGTACATTAGAAGAAAAATAAATTTGATTATTAGATATTAGGTTTTATCATTTGATTATGTGGGTCTTAGCCATGTCATGTTTATTCATGATAGTATAGTTGATTGAAATATTTAAAACTTTGGAGATTTTAGGGTTTGATGGGAGGAGTGGCAGGTATGACTTGCAGAAGAAATCTAGAGAAAGTACGCCATTTGTCCTTCTTTTGTCGAGAGAATATCATAAAGTGACTTGAGGTGAGACTTGTAAAAAAATACATTTATTGCATTAAAGGAATTGTTTTTCGAGAACTAATGTTATGATTGACTTTGAGCCATTGAAAGTTTGTACGCGAAGCCACAACTCCTCTAGACCTACTTGCAAGATACACCTCCATCGTTACTCTTCCGCGTATCGAACTTTGAAGCCTCTTGAGTTTCATATTCTCCAACTAGCTACAATTCCTTAACTTGACTGCACTTGACACGACCACTGAAAGATCCACGTGATCTACCAACCAAATATATTATGTGACAGTTAGATCTATTTATTATGCTAGCTTACAAATAGCTATATCATTACCCTAGGCCTGACATCAACACTAACGAGTCTTGTATATAAATCACCATGTAAGAATAAAAAAAGAGACTCTCTCTCCTCTCTCGACTAAACAATCAAAAGAATGCCCATCTATTCTTCTTAACCTAAATAAGAAGAGGTGAGCTCTCAAACACTATTAAACTTTCATTTCTCTCATCAACATAATTAATTATTATTATTGATCATATATATATTAAATACTAATATTTAATCTATTAATTAGCTAATTCAGATTAAATTTTATAAAATTTGAGCGATGATACTAACCCACATACTTTAATTCAGGTAAAAGAAGTTATCAAACTTTATAATGTAGGGTGTTCGCTGAGGGAGAGAAAGGTGTTTTTCCCCTCCGATTTTGTGGGGGACGTAAGCATTCTGTTCAAGGTAAAAACCCTTCATAGGGGAGAATCCCTATAATATCTACCCTCTTTTTAATATTTATACTTTATATTCATCTTTGAGATATGAAATTTAATCTGCTTGTAAAATATAAAACTTAAATAGATTTATGTCAAATTTATACATATATAACAATAATTTAAAGAGAAAATCGCCTCAGTGACAAAAAATGCCTTATAATATACGATTTTAACCAACTTTTTCCGGATTTGCCAAAATGACCAACAAAATCGCAATGCAATCGCTAATTCGCAACGCGATCTCCATTATCGCAAATTCGCGTTGCATTTCGCGTTGCGATAGTTGGAAATCGCGTTGCGATGGTCTACAGTGTCGTTGCGATTTTCCCAATTCGCAATGCGAATAAGTAAATCGCAACGCGAATTGGAAAAATCGCAATGCGATACTGACTATCGCAATGCGATACTTACTATCGCAATGCGATAATACAAAATCGCAACTAGATACTGACTTTCGCAACGCGATTCTGACTTTCGCAACGCGATTTACATAGCGCCATTCGTATTAACGCGTATTTTTTTTTTCAAATTCCAAACACGAATTTTTTCTTAAAAAATCGGAAACTGAACCGTCCACAGTAATCGTAACTCATAACCTCAAACCCAAAATCACAACACTCAGTCCCATCTCCATCTCTCACTCTCTACGGCGAAATCCGTCCCCATCTCCGAAGATTTCCGTCCCCATCGCCGGCGAAATCCCTCACAACCATTCACAGTCAAAAATCCCTCACAATCATTCAGAAATGGAAAATCAACCTCCGAGGGTTAGTTTTTTTTATTTTTATTTTGAAATTTTTGCATTATTTTAGGTTTTTCATATTGAGATTGATGATAAGTTTACTGGTAATTTCAATAATAGATTAACCATTTCACTTAGATTTCTTATTAAATTCATTCGATTGCTGCCAATACTGCTAAACTGTTTAGCCTGTGAAGTTAGTATTTGTCTTTGTTTTGTCTTTTGGTTGAAGTAATGCAGAAGAAGAATAGTTTCGAGAATGAAAATCACAACGCGTAAATAACTATCACAACGAGAGAATCGCAACGCGAAATAAAAAACGCAACGCGAAACAAAAATCGCATTGCGATTTTCATTTCGCGTTGCGATTTTCATTTCGCGTTGCGATTTTTATTTCGCGTTGCGATTCTCTCGTCGCGATAGTCATTTCACGTTGCGATTATCTCGTTGCGATAGTCATTTCCGCGTTGCGATTCTCATTATCTCGTTGCGATTTTCATTTCAACCAAAAGACAAAACAGTGTTGCAAATTTTAGTTTCAAGAATAAACTACTATTTATGTTTATTGTTTTTGGTATATATTGACAGTGTAGTTTTTGGTATATCTAACTTGGTATGTTTATTGTTTTTTTGTAGAAATTTTTTTAGCTTCATTGACATTAAGGAATAAAGTTAGCCTAACCACTACAATTGCTTCGAAGCTTTCACCTGCACAAAGAAAATTGTTTGAAGAAACCTGCTTCGGGCCATGGCTGAGAGTACAGCATCCGGGTGGAGATGCTAGTTTGACCCATTTGTGGCTTCAAACCATGACTAGCGATCTACCCGATAGTATACAACGTGGTGAGGAAGAGATATGGTTTCATTTTCCACCGGCGTATACTTGTTTTGGGCGGAAGGAGTTCTGCTTAATCACTGGTCTACGATTCGGACACGATGATGTAGGCCGGTACACTCGTCATATCACCCGCCCATCATGGTTATCCAGGGTTTTTCCTGATGAGTCAATAGAGAAGCCGAACTTACACGTCGACGACATGAAGAAATTGTTTAATAAGAAAGATGGTTTTACTCGGATGAATGACGTCGATGTTGTCCGAGTATGCCTTCTACTACTTTTGTATGCCGGCTTTTTAGGCAGAGAGGCCAGACAACCTATTCCTCAGGAGCTAATATTATTGGTAGAGGACCTAAATGCATGGAATCTGTTTCCGTGGGGTTCGTATATATGGAAAGCTACCTGGACTAAGTTGTCGTCTGCCTTTGATGACCGAAAAAGTTTGCGGGGCGATGGGTCGAAATACACTTTGTCAGGCTTTGTTTGGGCCTTTAAGGTAAGAATTTCTATATAATGTTTTCAAAATTATAATTAATTATTTAACAATTACTAATGTTTGTTATTATATTGTTTGTAGATTTGGATATTCGAGGCCTTTCCCGCCATGAAGGCATATGCAATAAAAACTTCAAATGATATTCCCAGGGCTATTTCCTGGAAGAGGAAACGTCTGTTGGATTGGGAAGACTTAATACCATATGCGACAATAAATAATGTAAGTTAACACAAATACTATCATATATAAACAAGTTATTAATAGTAGATGTTTAACTTTGTTTGAGTTTTTATATTTTTAGGAGGCCAACATTCCATTAATGAGACTGACACCCACGGAGGCTGAGCTTGCCACTGATTGGTGGCAAGCTAGTCAGCGTTTTCTTGATGGCACGAATAATGAGCAGCCTCCACTTCCTCCACTTCGAGAGCCATCACCTCACCCAGAGCCATCACCTGATCGACCCGACTATACACCTCTACAACGAGAGCCATCACCTATCCCGTCACATCATCGAGCCTCTTCTCCACCATCACCTCATGATAGGCGACCGACAAAGATGCCACGACTTCTATCTCCCTATTCTCCACCTCCACGGGATGAGTCAAGGGAGTTACGTGATGAGGTCAATGCCTTGCGTGAGGAGATCGGTACTCTACTCGATAACGATGGTGCATGGCGTGTGGAGGTGTCTACTTTACGTGGTGAGGTTGCCGCTCTACGTGAGATGGTAGTATCGTTGCAGAATGAGGTTCATACTCTACGCAACGAGATACGTTTAAGATTTTCCATATTTAACTTGATGATAAATTTACTCGTAATTTCACTTAAATTAACCATTTCACTTAGATTGCTTAGTAAATTTATTCGGTTGCTGCCAAAACTGCTAAACATTTTACTTTAACACTGTGAAGTTAGTATTTGTCTTTGTTTTGTCTTTTGGTTGAAAGTTTGAAATATATTTATCTTTGTTTTCACTGTTTAAATATCATGTCTATTTATTTACTGATATTTGTATTTAATTATTTATCGGACCGATAAGGTGGATGCTTTACGTCGTGTTTTTCTTGCAGGACAGAGTTCACGCATCAGACGGCTTGCACGTGCTATTAAGTCTCCGTATACCCCAATAGTGCGAAGACACCGCAAAAAGAAGCCCGACTCGCCTGTCATCCCTCAAGAGTCCACTCCTATCGTTGAAGAGGCCCTTATCATTCCTCGAGAGTCCCCTCCCACCGTTCAAGAGGCCACTGCCATCGTTGAAGAGGTCCCTCCCACCATTCAAGAGCCCGATTCACATGGCGTCATATGTAGGATTCTTGAGAAACCCTCTGACGTGCCGGACATGATAGATTCAAGTTGGCTCTCGTATGAGTTACCGGCCAGTACCATACCGGTATCTGAAGAGGAGAGGAAACAACTACCGGACACAATTCTGGATAACACCCTTTGGGCTAAGACCGCAGTTGATTTTTATCTACATGAGCGAAGCCAGGGGTGTTTCACTGACATATGCAAGATCAATGATGATATCTATTTGTTGCTTGATCGGTCTTGGTAGGGCGTATTATTAGGGGTCGAAGACAATGGCTATTTCGATGGAGGGGTAAGTCTTATATTTTTCGTATATTTTAATTTGATTATTTTTTTGTGAATTT